ATGAAATAAAGTAACTTAAAACACATAAATCATTCGCCAATAAATTGAGAAGATCAATATTGCTTAGACCACGAGCAGAAATTCATCAGATTGTGGATGTCAAAAATTCTTAGGTCAACTTCTAATCTAGCAATATGGGTTTTCTTTTATGTCGGGGGATATTTTGATTTTGGGTACATATATATATGGATAATCTACTAGACACGGATTTTCATCCCTCACACAAGGTTCTGTTGTGACTATATTACAACTTTACCTTCGAGGCGATAGCTGTTTTTTTCTTTTCAATGCAGTGTAATATAAATTAGCTCAAGGAGATAATGTATTATCTTCATATATTGTTATACTTATATATTTTATATACTTAGAGAAATACTGTAAAACTTTATTTTGGGTTGAATTGAATGAACATTATTATTATTATATATATATATATATATATATATATATATATATATATATATATATATATATATATATATATATATATATATATATATATATATATATATATATATATATATATATATATATATATATATATATATATATATATATATATATATATATATATATATATATATGTCATCAAGAAATGAAATTTTTTTTATAGTGCTGCATATATTATATGTGAGCGACCCCCTAATCTAAAATTTGAGAAAATTGCAAATGTGCCCAGTTCATCAACTTTATTTATTGCACAGATTTGTTTATATTTTATGATTCAAGCCGTCTGGAAATTTTAATATTCGAATTTCAATGGAAATGTGCATAATTTTTATATATATATATATATATATATATATATATATATATATATATATATGTCATCAAGAAATTAAATTTTTTTTTATAGTGCTGCATATATTATATGTGAGCGACCCCCTAATCTAAAATTTGAGAAAATTGGAAATGTGCCCAGTTCATCAACTTTATTTATTGCACAGATTTGTTTATATTTTATGATTCAAGCCGTCTGGAAATTTTAATATTCGAATTTCAATGGAAATGTGCATAATTTTTTTTATATATATATATATATATATATATATATATATATATATATATATATATATATATATATATGTCATCAAGAAATGAAATTTTTTTTTATAGTGCTGCATATATTATATGTGAGCGACCCCCTAATCTAAAATTTGAGAAAATTGGAAATGTATCCAGTTCATCAACTTTATTTATTGCACAGATTTGTTTATATTTTATGATTCAAGCCGTCTGGAAATTTTAATATTCGAATTTCAATGGAAATGTGCATAATTTTTCTAAGTAACTTTCAAGTTAACTCAAGACATTACTCAAGATATTACGATGGGTAATTTACACAAACTACTAAACCTAAGAATTAGAATTGAAGAAAAATTCACAAATGTGGTACTTATCTCAAAACTGGAAAACATTAATTATTTATTAAAAGGTAGGGCCTGCGAAAAACTTCTCGTTGAAAATGAAGTACAGACAACTGTAGAATTCACGAAGAATGTCCAAATAAATGCCAATTCTGTCTACAAGGTAAGCATTTTTGAAATTCTTGGATTTTCACAATATTAAAATTTCTTAGTTTTTCATTCAATATGCGGCAAAAAAATTGAAAATATTCCTTGTAATCGTTTATCTACAAATTGTAGTTTTGTCAAAACTTTGAAATTTATGATTTTGATAGAATGAGATTAGAGTGAAGAATAGACAGAAAAAAGTTATTCATTAAAATTTGGATATCTTCATTGAAATACTAGTGTAAAATAACAATGGAACATTTTCACAAATACAGAGTATATTCAAGAGGGTCAGCACATAGAATAACTAAGAAGAAGAAGAATAAAATTCAATAATAAAATCGACTGAACTCGGTAATGAAGGGTAGGTAAGTATAAACTAGGTACATCAGAACTTAGTAAACACGTTAATAAAATATAGGTACGTAAAATATCTGAGGGGGTAGCATCCCGCAATCCTTCTTACCAGCTACATAAAATTTTTTTATTCAAAATGTTAAGTAAAGGGCTATTATTAATATCTAATTGATATCAATAAGACTCTTTACTTCTTGAGTTTATTGATTTTCTCATTTGGAAATTTCTGAAGTTTGACCTATATAAAATTCATCACATCTATTATATATATTATTCTTGATATTTTTACTGATATTATTAGTGGTAATAATAGAAATATTGATATTTTTTATCTTAGTCGTACAAATAAACGTTAACACCCTGTATATTATCTTCTCTGTTAAGACTGGGTAAACTTCGGAAATCGCTTTTGTGAAAGAATTTTTGTTGATTAAATGGTCTATGCTCACTTGATTGATTCACATAATTGTACCTTTCTCTTTGTATATATCATTATCTTCAGAAGTTGTAATATATATATAAAATCGATAAACGGCCGTAATCGAGCAAGAGCCTGCTTTTGATAACTTATATTTACAACTAAAACTGCATACTAACTAATAATTATCTAACTTATTGTGATCTACTAAGTGTATAGATTATGAATAGTAATAATAAATTATCAATATAATCTATTCATTTTGTATTACAGAAACTTTATATATATATATATATATATATATATATATATATATATATATATATATATATATATATATATATATATATATATATATATATATATATATATATATATATATATATATATACGATGATATTTACACTCTTGTATTTTTTATAGTCCTGATGAAGAATATAACCATATTCGAAATATTTACTAGGTTAATTAATTGGTTGTGTATCAACTATAGTAGCCTTACTTTTGCCGAGAACTCATCTATTTCTTATATATATATATATATATATATATATATATATATATATATATATATATATTTTATATGATCGTAGATGTAATGTTTTGTTTTATTTTATAATTGTAACTATAAATGTTTGATTGATTTCAAATTGTAACGTAACTCTTTTACATTTTAGGAAATTGTTGTATGACATAATTTGAAAAAGGTCGCAGTGACGACTGAAACGTTATTTTAATATAAACATTTGAATCAAAGTATCTATTAATTGAACTACACAACCTATGAAAAAATACATCTCCAATATAATTTAATATGGTTCAAGAAATTCAATCCGTAAATATATATATATATATATATATATATATATATATATATATATATATATATATATATATATATATATATATATTTATTTCATTTATATATATATATATATATATATATATATATATATATATATATATATATATATATATATATATATATATATATTTCTTTATTAAGCAATAACAGGCTTCTTTCAATATGAAAAACTTTATTTTCATATTGAAAATATGAAAATAAAAAAATATAAAAATAAACTATCTTAAACAGGCAATAAATCAAGATAAAATATATATATATATATATATATATATATATATATATATATATATATATATATATATATATATATATATATATATATATATATATATATATATATATATATATATATTTCTTGAAATTGATTTATTGCCTGTTTAAGATATTTTATTTTAAAAGTTTTTAGCAATAACAAGCTTTTTTGATATGAAAAAGTTTATTTTTGTTGAAGTTTCGTTGTTATATTACAACTTTGTCAAAACTAATTAGTTTTATTAGGCCTATAAATTATTGAAATTCAGGTTAAAGAAGTGCCCTAAAACCAAACAAAAAATTTCGAAACACCCAGTTTGTGTCAAATTTTATAACTAAAAATATTTATCATATAAAATCCAAGATAGAAAGAAGTGTGGGTTTATTAAAATATATTTTTCGAAGTCATTTGGATTCCTCTAAGATAATTCGAGATCTTTTTTAGAAGTGTTGAGTTAGATTGAAGAAAAATTTTACCCTCCAATCACCCTTTAATATTGCATATCTATGTATTGAATAATTCTTAATTTTTTAAATATTTTTCCAGACTATATTCAAAGGAGTATTTTTGTTCAGATTCGAACAAAACTACTTCCAACTATTTATTCTACTTGTATTCATTATTAATTTGGTCTTAGTCTCTGAAAGTTTATATATGAGGCAATTTTCTTGATTCGAAGTTAAAAAAAAATCTGTATGCTAAATGATTATTTTTCAGAGCCTTGGAACAATCTTTATTCCACCATGGCTTATTGAAATTATGAGAACTTATTGGCTTATATTTAGGAATGCTGAGGTAACAAGAAATCATCAAATTATATAGGAAACAATCTTAAGAAATTGAATTGGACACGATCATTTGCATAGATCAATTATAATTTTGTCTGAAAATTCATAATTATATTGTTAAAGAAGTATTAGTTCTGAAGATAACTTATCGACCGATAACGTATGAAAATTTCCAATGTTTTTATCTTGATTTTCTAAATAAACTCTAAACGGATCAACATCTGGTGAGGAGTACTGAAACGAATTCTTTTTTTGCGGCTACACTGGAATATTAGAATTCAATTCTTGTTATTCTGAACTAATAAATTACAGTTGCTATGCAAACTAAGGGGGCCAACATGAAGCGAACTCACCGGATTATTTATTTGAGTATCTGGAATTTCCATATTCAAGTCTTCTTCAACATCATTATTTGAAATTGTTTTGATTACTTTTGAATTAGTATCACTTGTATAGTACACACCTCCCCCTTCATCAGGGGGCTCAGTATTTGAAATTATTAAATTTTTACACCGAATTAGAACCCAAAGAATCAGAATGAAGTTCTCCGTATGGTTTATAAATTGAAATATAAATGCTGCGAACCAAGCAACACCTGCAGCCGGTATGAAATCTGAACCGCAACTGAATGATTTATTTGATAGGTATCAGTTAAATAAATATTTAAAATTTTTTTTTTTAATTCAGTGGACCTACGGTTTAACGCCTGTTCCGAATGGCCATTGGGCTTGTAATCGATGTACATAACCAAGCATATTTCATTATTTAAACTACTTAAATCATAGGCAAACACAAACACCCTTGCCCTCAGCGGGGCTCGAACCCGAGTTCTACCACATTATAGTCGAGAGTTATACCGACTAAGCTAACGAGACCGGGTATATTTTAAAATTGATTTATTACGTTTAAGATAGTTTATTTTCAATATTTTTATACGTTTTCGTTGTATATCACACCTTTGTAAAAAAAAATTTTCGTGAAAACGTTAACGAAAATAAAGTTTTTAACATTAAAATAAGCCTGTTTTTGCTAAAAACATTGAAAATGATATATATGTATATATATACATATATATTTTAAATGAATTTATTGATTGTTTAATAGTTTATTTTCAATGTTTTCAGCAATAACAGGCTTGTTTCAATGTTAAAAACTTTATTTTCGTTGACGTTTCCTTGTATATCACATCTTTGTCAAAACTAATGAATAATTGAATTTCATGAATTAGGTACTATAGATATCAAAATGTCAAACTTATGTTTTTGAAAAAAATCGAAGTCGCTTCGGAAGTTTTACTCTTCTTGACCATGAGGAAACCTCTGAAAAACTCATAGTAAGCCAGAATATCAAGAATATGTATTTGGATTGATTAAGGTGTGTGAAATTGATGGTAAGTCAGGAAAGAATGAGTTTTGAGATATGATGTTTGGTGATTGTTGAGTATTCATTTCATGAGTGTTATTTGTAGATCTTTGCAAATAGAATTAAGATGATTTGTGTCTGTTCTCGAATTTACTGTTCTCCAAATTACCAAGAATGTGTAACATTTTTAAAATTTCTCTACATTTTTTGTCTTTTTCAGTTGCTAAAATTTTGAAATCAAAATCATATGTTTCAGTTATTTTATGTTTATGTGAGGCTGTTATTTGAGTTTTTGTATATTTATGTGCTTTAATTCTTTTTTCAAGATTTTGCGACATTTGTCCTATATAGCATTTACTGCAATTATTTATTGCATGGTAAACAGTAATATTTTTTTCTGAGTTTTTTCTTTAACTTGGTATATATTTTCTTGGTTTGATTATGTCTAGATGATCTATTATTGAATCATAAGCTTTTAATATTTTTGCAATGTTTATACTTAATCTTGGAATATATGGTAGAGGAATGTAATTATTTTCGTTAAATCTAATTTTTTTGATTGTGAAGTATTATATAATTTATGAATTCTGTTTTTCATGATTCTGTTAATAGAATTAAATGGATAATTAGTTTTCATGAGAAATGTACGAACTTCTTCAAGTGTTTCATGCCGTAGACACGATGATGTTAATTTTAGTGATCTACCTACAAAACTAATTATTATTCATGAAAATAAATTCATAGAAGCAGTAAAATTCACTTTAGGCACAAATTTTTTTCAATATAAAAATGAATTTCATCAACAAATTGATGGTGTCGCCATGGGTAGTCCTTTATCAAGTGTTATTGCACAATTAACATTCACCACGAACTCTGTCGAGAAAAATTGAAATCTATAAATTAAGGCCTATCAAATTTCACCGAAGGCTTCATATACTTTTTTTTCTACCTTCACATCCTGTAGATCAATTACTCATAGCCTTTGTAATAGCACCAAATATACCTTCTGGAAGCTTTCAACATGCCGTTTACAGTAATTCTAGTTTTGTCGATGTGGAGACACCTAAGTAGTTATTGTTCAAATTATAGGTACATACTTCCTCGAAATAAGGCACTTCACTTTCACTTTCATGAATTATTTCACTTTCTATACTACGCTTTCAATAAAGTTATTTATGAAAGCGACGAAATACAAATTTTTTGAAGACAGCAAAATCAACGACTAAGAATTTCTTCATGACCCTAATTACATTTTAATTCAACAGTTAAATAAGAAAAGCTTTCATTTTGCTCCAACCAGTTCCAAATAGTTTTTTAATCAATTACTAGGACCTCAGAATCAGAAATGTCGCTTTCATTCCACCCCTCCACTAATATCTAAGCTACGAAGACCTCGGTAGCTTAGTTGGTAAAGCAGCAGGGGGTAAACCTGAGAGACCTGGGTTCGTATACCAGTCGAAGTCATAAACTTTTATGATATAATTTCGATTCTCAATTTTCACGACAACAATACGTTTCTTCATATATGATATGATAATATGTTCCGTACGTGCGTGGTTAGCGCGATTAAGAAAAACTTTACTTTTATATATGTCTATATATATATATATATATATATATATATATATATATATATATATATATATATATATATATATATATTTACGTATGAAAGCAGCTAAGAACTCTAGCTGCAACCACCTCATTACTGAGGATATCTCAGTAATGAGGTGGACATCTTCCTATACCAAGCTGATGCAGAATATATACTAACATGACACAGCAACCATCAAAATAGAGGAATACTCGGAAAAATTTCTAATAATGAGAGGAGTCACAGGGAGACCCGTTTTCCCCAAAACTGTTCTCAGCTCTTTGGAGTGTATGTTCCAGAAGCTCGACTGGGGCGAGAAAGGAATCCAGATGGCCGCTTCCTTAGCCACTTGAGGTTCGCTGACGATATAGTCCTGTTCTCCCACGATGCTACCGATCTTCAAAAGCGTATCAATGAAATGCACATAGCGAGCAAGGAAATAGGTCTGGAATTGAACACTGCAAAAACAAAGATGATGCTTAACCCTTTCTGCACCAGAGAGGAAATGGAGGTGGACAGATCACCATTAGAAATAGCAGCATCTCACACATATCAGGGATAGATTGTCAAGGGAAACGTGGATATTACGCCGTAGATCATGCAAAGAACAAGAACAGGTTGAGGTACAGTTGGCCGACTGAAGCACATCTTCAAATCAGATATGCCACTATCCTTAAAGAGCAAAGTGTTTGACTAATGCGTATTACCAGCGATGACCTACGCCAGGGAAACCCTGAAAACTGCTCACATCTAGAAGCTTCGAACAACCCAGCGGAGTATAGAAAGATACATGACGGGTCTAACCATACGAGACAGAATACGATTAAGCTGAATAAAAGGTCAAACAAAAATGAAGGATGTCGTGGAGTGTGAAAAATGGTCAAAGTGGATGGAGCTAGATGGGCAGGACATCTAGCTCGAACAAGAGTGAGCGTTGGTCAGCTGTGGTTGGTGATGGAGCTTGTAGATTGGCTGGGCGTTGCCTGGAAGAGAAAGACTGCCGGTAGGAAATCTTGGCAAATACAGGGGGAGACCTTCGTTTTGCAGTGGACAGACAGAAGTTGATGATGATATATACTGAAATATTTAAGAAAAATAACACTTGAACATTTGACCAAAAAATACGAATGAACCAAAATGATATTATAACCTTCGATTCTCAACTAACTTTGGTGCCACATATCAATGCTACAGTAACCGCTGCCTGTAGAATATATGGTTTCATTATTCGCATTGTGATAAGAAATTTAGCAATATATCAACTCTGAAAACATTGTATTGTGCTTTCGTAAGATCTAAACTTGAATACGGATCAATGCTCTGGAATCCTCGTTATCAGTTACATATTGATCAACCGGAGTCTATTGAACGGAAGTTACTGAATTTTTTGAGCTTCAAAATTGATGGAATATATCCACCTATAGGCATACAGCATGAAATGCTTACAAGTCGACATAATGTGAACACACTCAGTGTGCGAAGGACATTTCATGCAATAATCTCGCATAAAATAATTGACAAATAAAGTGAAATGTCAGGAATTATTGCGAAAGCTTCACTTTAATGTCCCCTTCTAAAATTTTTTTCAGAAGCGAATTCACGTTCTAACTTCCAGCAACTAGAGCGAATGATCTAAATGTAATATTTTGGGAGGAGGAAGGTGGATATTTTAAACTGCTCTGTTACTGATATGAGACAAGTTTCCTTGATATGCATAATCTCTGCTAGAACAATCTTTTATGTGTATTCATGTACAAGATTCATATTCACTCATATAAGTATGTGTGTATAAGTGTTAATATGTGAATGTATGTGTATATGTGTATTCATCTTTATATGAAATGTAAATGTTTGGTCAGCATTTGAGTTTTTTTATTCCTGTAATTAGTTACATTTCATCAGTTGTTATTCATTTCAAAAACACTTTTTTATAACTGAAATTTGCAATATGAAAGTAGAAAATTGAAACTTTTGAACTTTTGTACTACCAAGTTTGTTTTTATTATCTGTTTTGTTTCCTGTTTTGTAAATAGGACCTGTCCTGTAAAACAGTGTATATTAAATAAATAAATATATAAATATATGATTTACTGGCAGGATTTCCTAGTTTTGTTCTTGAAAAACGTAAATTCACATGGTAGCTTATTCCGAGTCTGTGTGGTTTGAAATATTCGCTGACCTATTCTAAATTGGTAATTTTTTTTTTCTGAAAATGTTTTTTTTTAGAAACTTTTTGGTCTTTATATGAGGCACTATCTTCTGGAGGAGTAATAGAGAAGAATGATAGAACAGTGGAATGAAAATTAGTGAAGAGTTCTCCAAGTCGAAGAGAAAGTAATTGAGTTATAATTGCAGTTACAGTATAAGTGACGTAATACACTTCATTAAATCTGTAGTAGCGCCTAAGTTTGGTTATTGTTATTGCTGTTGACAGTATATCTAAATAAAAATGAAAAATATTCTATCGAAGTAGTCCTTAATACATCCTTCAAAGCCGTTAGTGTCGGTTTATATCAAGTAGAAATCGAATTCACAGCTCAAGTCAATAATTCGACAGATTGAATGAAAGCATTCGAACTGGTTGTATACTCAAGGAATAAAGGTTCATAAACACTTCAAAAATTTGCTGTTACAGACAAAGAAGACTATGTACCGTTAAGATATGCTTTAAATTTCAGATCATATATCATTTTTGAACACAGTTTCGGTAGATAAACTCTATTTTACCATACTATTACTTTACACAGGTCAAAATCCATCTATAAGAAAAATACGGAAGATTTCAAAAAAAATGTTATACTCGCAATACTTGATAATCATAAATATTAATAACACATAATAATCATAAATGGTAATATGTCAAAATTAATAAGCATATATAATAAATAAATCCATTTTTTGCATTATCGCTCGATGAAAT